CAACACTTTTTCCAGGTTCCTAACACTACAGACCTGCTTGCTTTGAAAATAGATAGACGAATTACTGGGACGATGAATATCTGAATTAAGTATAAAGAAATGCCAACTTTTTTCTCGGTCATGCCTTTTTTAAGAGAAACTTCAGACACCCTCTGCAAATCAATTCGATATAAGATTTTGTGCTCATATGGCCAATGTGGGAGAGAATTATGGAGCTATACATAAGAGGTTATCAAAACACAAAACCGCCCTCAAAGGTTTGTGGATTAAGAAATCGAAGGTGGCTGAACATAGTGTCACCACAGGATACCAAAGGGAATGGTCTAAAACCAACGCTTGGAAGGTTAAGTGGGCTTTACAACTAAGTGGATGATCCGGGAGTCAATTGAGATCGACAGATTAAAGAACATTCTGATTAAGAGGAGCAAATTCAGGAAAATAAGCAAGAGCTTACCCTGGCTGCTGGATAGACTTAGAAAGGCAAGGAGAGAGAGAGAGAGAATAGGGAGAGCCACCGAGTAGGAGAAGAAGACATAACCTGAAGTCTGGTTTGGGAGCCACAATGATCAACCAACTTGTGAGTATTGCATCCGCGCAAAGTAAACGTATCCGCGAAGCTAAAACAAGCCTCAGGATTAAAGTACAATACGCTTATTTATTTACATAAACAAAAGCTGTAACCACATCCACTTTCCTTCCCGTAGCAACTTAACTTATCAGTATGCATGTAGGACAAGTACAAAGTGGCCAACCAAATCATGAAATGTATAATTAAGATCGCAATGTTGGGCATAAAAGTAAGTAGAATTTCAGCAAGCCACCTCTCTTGGTTATATGTTTTTAGCGAAAAATTTTAGTTACTATGTAGATCATACATATGAGCTGCATTCATACAATTTCGTTTAGACTGATGAAGGACGTGTAGTTGAATTATCACACAATCAGATGGGCAGGACTCACTTTTACATTGAGCCTCACATGGCTCTGGTTCGTAAAAGGCATTCTCATCCAGGCTAGTGTGGACTACAATTTTGAGTTCTTTCAGGTCTCAACAGTTACACCAGCGAGACTCGAACTAGGATCGAAGTAATCTAGCGTATGGTAACGAAGCGATAAGCAGCACGCTGCGCTTTTAAGTGTCCTCTCAGTTCACAGGGCAATCCAGGCCCTTTCCATATATCTTTATGTGGTGAGAGTGTCGATAAGGCAGAATTGTACTTTCTATAACATTCTACTACACTATTTATCTTTCGTTTGTTAGAAGGTCATTGAGAATGCCGCTGAGGGTGCTGGTGAAACCTGGACGAGGTTAAAACTGCAGTCCAATTTTTGAGAAGCAAGGCTATGATACATTCACTGGGAACATGAGGCCTGCATACGTGATTGTAGAGAAATTCAACTAGCAATCCTTCACTACCTAAAGTGAAATAGGGCAAATATCCGATCTACTAGATTTCTCGAAAGCATACTCATGAAACGGACGCTTGACTTGCTGTTTCGACAGGACTTCGACCGAGGAGTACGGCCATTGAGTCACTGCAAAGTACAGGAAATTCTTGTGCAGATGAGCCCAACCAAGCTTACCTCCTTGATTTCGGGTGGGCGGGGGAGGAGGTGAAGGAAGGGTGATCTCCGATGAAGATGCGTCATCCCAGTTCGACTTAAGCTGGAGCCCTTTGGCTGGATCTAGCTGAGGCAGACGACACATTCACATGTCTTCTTTTCCATGTAACATTTACTGAAACACTAGTCCACTAGCCACATCATCATCATCATCATTTCAACCCCGTCACGTATGCAGCATTTCTCATTTATTTATTGTTGAGCTTACTTCCATTTCGAGTGAAAGTGTCAGTTGAAGAGATACGACTGTCGATCCCACAAGAAGACGACGGCAGATTCCTCTTGAACAGCTGTCGATTGGCTTTACTAGAGCCTTGTTGTTGACGCTGGACTAATCAAATCATCTTTACCTGATCTAAGAGCATGGACATAGAGCATATATACAGCATTTATGGATCAACCGATGAGTTTTATTA